TTGTGCTCACGTAGAGAAACCCTAGTTTAATTTAACCATATGGAATAAAAATTTCTTAATGAATAACAGATTGCTACATCTTTTCAATATATATGTAGTCCATAGTATAAATAACTGGCTGAAAATTAATGAAAAATGCAAAAAGAGGAGGGAGAAAATCCCTAAAAGTTGTGAAAGGAGAACAGATATGCTTAATAGCACATAAATGGCTTTAAAAATCACCTCTGCGACTCACCAGAATTACCTTTACTTGATAACCAGTGACTGAGGAGATAATATTTAGTTGACTTTAAAACCTCACCCATAGCCAAGCTTGTAGGATGTCACTATATAATTTAATTTCTTCAACAACAACCAAATATGTTAACTTCTATTAAGTAATTGAATTTTTATGTGGAAACAAGAGCATGTCTAACCTACAGGCACGCACAACACTTTTGATTTTCCTATTTTCCCATCCCTCTTAGGAATTTGATAATTTCTTAATGGAGGAATAGTTTAAATGACCAGAATTTGTAGGCTTTCATTGTATATGTAGACTTTCTTGTTGTTGCTGTTTTACACCCTACAAAACATTTACTTAGTGAAGATATTTAGAGTTTGGTGTTTGAAATGTGATTCCAAGGAATCCTTTATATTTAGAAAATCCTAACTTAGGGTGTTTCAAGGAAAGTACAATACAGTTATGGTAGAATATGCATAACATATTTCTCTACAGTTTAATATTGTATTTGCTAAGTTATTCTGCTTTTTTATTTAAAAACTACAACTAACTGCCAAAGTAATTCGTCCTTAGTGTTTTAGAACAGTGTCTATCAGATGTAATAAAATTACCCTATCATTTTTTTTTTGACAGGCAGAGTGGATAGTGAGAGAGAGAGAGAGACAGAGAGAAAGGTCTTCCTTTGCCATTGGTTCACCCTCCAATGGCCGCCGCGGCCGGCGCGCGCTGATCTGATGGCAGGAGCCAGGTGCTTCTCCTGGTCTCCCATGGGGTGCAGGGCCCTAGCACTTGGGCCATCCTCTACTGCACTCCCGGGCCACAGCAGAGAGCTGGCCTGGAAGAGGGGCAACTGGGACAGAATCCGGTGCCCCGACCGGGACTAGAACCCCGTGTGCTGGCGCCGCAAGGCGGAGGATTAGCCTAGTGAGCCGCGGCGCCGGCCTACCCTGTCATTTTAAAGACAAATTTATAAGAGAAATATAATAGTAATATATCAGCAGCACAATATAAGAAGATGGCAGAAGACATGTATAAGTAATTCACAGATGGGAAAAAATAGTCCATTTTTAAGGGAATACCAATTAAAATATCAACCAGACCTTTTTTTTTTTCTTCAGTCATAAAAGATGAGAGCCACTCTGTTGCTACTTTAGAGCACTTAAAGTTGTATTTCGTTTTGGATAATTAGTTAGACAATGTTCATTCACAATTAAATGTTATACTATACCTTTTAACCCATCAATTACACTTCAAGGTTCAAGGAATTGTATCCAACAGAAGTGTACAAATGCATCAAGAAACATGCTCAGTATAATATTAAGCCATTAATTCCATCAACAGCAAGTAGATTAAGAAAATTATGATACAACCACACATGAAATCTGTGTAGCTGTAAAAGAAATTATGTGGATTTCTGTGTAGTGATATGGAAGTATTCTCAAAGTGTATCAAGTGAGGAAAGATCTAGGGGCAGGATATTAACAACTTAAGTATTACCTCTGAAAAAGTTGGAAGTTTTTCCCTTTTTTAACAGTGTGAAATAAGTATGTATTTAGTATTACAAATTTTTTGAAATGGAAAAATGCTGCTATGTGAATGAAAGTGTACATTGTTTTGTCCAGATGGTAAATCTAGAGTAAGGTTTACAAAAATAAAAGTTTCAGTACACGGAATAAAGGACTTATCTGCTCTTGACCATTTTAGACACTAACCATCTGGAGTAACCACATAGCTCTTGCCACACATCACTAACTTGATGTAAAAAAAAAATTACTTGTTAACTTCCAAAATGCTTGTGAAATAAGACTGACACCATGAGCACTGTCATCTAAAAAGGTGCTTTCATTTCTTCTCCCTTTTTAAAATCCATTGCTCAAACTAGATCTTAGTTAGATTGGATACTCTCCAGCACTTTTGGGCTTTACCACAAGGAATAGGGTTCCAGAGCTGAGCGTAAAGACTGCTTTCTTTGCCACAGAATTTAATTAGGAACAATGAAAAGGCCCGTCGTATTCTTGAACATGAAGGAAATTGGATGCTACTTTAGAGTGCAAGGAATAACTCAGGAAGCTCCTTTACAAGAAAAACTACAGTAGGGCAATAACTTCAAATTAAACTTATTTATATTTGCTTCTCATTAAATGTAAATTATTTTTATCTTTTACCACATTGGGTAGTAGAAAGAGAAATCGAGAGACTAAACCATCAGCCTTGCATATCCAGCTACTAGTTTACCCAGTACTTCTCATCCCAACAAGACTTAAACCTGCAGATAATTGCTAGCTTACCAATGTTCGTTATAGCTTCCCAGTTGGTTTTACTTCTGCGTCATATGCCTAGAATGGGGAATATCTAGGAAATTACAGTAATGTGGTTTATCTGTCCTTAGGAAGGCAGGCGGTTTCCAGAACAGCTGTAACTTGATTTCTCTGCTGTGTTTAGTTGTCATTTTGTCCTTTTTGTAGGGGCTTGAAAACAAAATTACTCTTAGTGCATAGGAATGTTGAAGATGTAGTCTTCATCTAATGGAGAGAATGATGACAAACAGGAATAAAATAAAGGGAAAAGTATTCTCTGGTAGCAGGGAGAAGGGGATTGAGATCAAAAGCACTGGTTGTGGGCAAGAAGACTCTTCTTGTTTATGAGGTGATAACAGATGTTTTTTTCTTCATGAATTAAATTTGTGAAATTGAGCAAGTTGTCATTGCCATGGCCTTGAGAAACACACCGTCTAGGGGGAGAACCATTGGGGACTGGGGAGGAGAGGTTGGATTACATGTGGATAGTGTGGAGGGTTGTCAGTAGACTTAGTGGTCTACAAATTAGTGATGGACAAAAGGATTGCCAGGGTTGAAAGTAATACACCTGTGATATCTTTATTCAAAAAAAAAAAAAAATGGGTGGGGAGTCTCTAAAGAATCTGTACTGAGGGCAATTTGTGGCTTATGTTTGGGAAATAGAACTACCTTAAAAAACATTTTTCTCACTACCATTCTGGTCTTTATTCCCACTTAATTGAAATCACTGGCATTTTAGTGTATTAAACTCATAGTTTGCTGAATAGTAAATATGACTAATTCCAACAGGTGGAAGATATTAGGCCAATTGCTACATAGGGTCCCTTGTGTGCTATGACAGACTTTCCTGTCACCTGCCCTAATTCTTAAGTAATTGTTCTGTGACACACATGATGTACTGGTAGTGTGACACCCAGAATACTGGAGTTTATATTGTATCCACTATAATATTTTCTTTGTATATGAGAAAAAAATGTCCATTAATTATCGGCTTATCTGTAACATTAAGCTAAAAATCAAATGTTAAGGGATGATTGGGACATTTATTTTTATAGAACTTCTACAGACTCTAGCAGTCTTAACTATGATATTATTTTAAACATGTTACAGCAGTTTAAAAATGACAAAGAAAACATTGAGGGGCAGGAGTTGTGGCACAGCAGGTTAAGTCACCACTTGGGATGCCCACATCCTATTTCAGAGTGCCTGAGAGTCTTACCTCTGCTTCTAGTCCAACTTCTTGCTGATGCTCCTGGGAAGCAGTAGATTATAGCCCCAGTCCCTGGATTCCTGCCAACCACGCAGGAGACCTGGATGGAGTTCCTATCTCTTGGATTTGGCCTGACCCAGTCCTGGCTGTTATAGCCATTTGAGGAGTGAACCAGCAGTTGAAAGATGGATCTTCCTCTCCCTCTCCCTCTCCCTCTCCCACTCTTTCTCCCTCTCCCTCTCCCCCTCCCCCCTTTCTCCTTCCCTTCCTCTGCCTCCTTCTCCCTCACCCCCCTTTGTCTCCTCCCTCTCTCCCTCTTCTCCCTCTCTCCCCCTCTCCCTCCCTTTCTCCTCCTCTACCTACCCCTTTCTCTCTCTCTCTCACCCTGTCTTTGAAAAGAAAAGCACATTTAGTTTTTGGGTATTTTAGGGTTTCTTTTCTTTCTTTCTTTCTTTTTTTTTTTTTTTGACAGGCAGAGTTAGACAGTGAGAGAGAGACAGAGAGAAAGGTCTTCCTTCCATTGGTTCACCCCTCAAATGAGACCACGGCTGGTGTGCTGCGCCCATCCAAAGCCAGGAGCCAGGTACTTCCTCCTGGTCTCCCATGCGGGTGCAAGTGCCCAAGCACTTGGGCCATCCTCCACTGCACTCCCTGGCCACAGCAGAGAGCTGGACTGGAAGAGGAACAACCGGGACAGAATCCGGCACCCCAACCGGAACTAGAACCTGGTGTGCCAGCGCCGCAGGCAGAGGATTAGCCAAGTGAGCCGTGGCGCCAGCTGGGTTTCTTTTCTTGAAGGATATTTTATCAATGAGGAGGGTTCTCTCCCTGTGAAGAGTGTTCTTCACAATTAATGGAAGCTAATTTCTTGTTTAAGTACAGTAAAATGGATCATCAGCTATAAGAAACAGTTTGGCTTATTATCATCAAGCCTTTCCATTCCTAAAAGGTAGTAAAAGATCTGTCATAACCATTGAGTGGTGGAAACGTATTGGGTGGTCACCTTTGAGAACTGTTCCTGTAGAATTACTTGTTCTCCTTCACAGTAAGTGCTCTTTGTGGAGGAATGGCTACATACTGAGCCCTATTTATGAAACCACCTTTCTCTTTTCTTGAAGGACCTAAGATATCTATGGTTGGTTTTTACATGGTGTTATATAAAATTAAGAGAGAAAACAAAAACATTCAAAACTGTAAAGACTCATAGAACTGGTATTATTTAGGTGAAAGATTATATGAAAGACTTAAACTTTTCTTGTTCTCTCTCCAGAAAACAGAGAATATGTATCACAGCAAGAGTTTCATTGGGTGTAAGAGAGCGTACTAGAATACGTGCTGGAGTACTGACATGCATCAAAATGTAGTAGGATATATGAATTCAGTTTGTACTTATAATTTTGTTAAGTTTGTTATTTATATTTTTAGCATTACTTGGCAAGTTTGATTACATCAAATTCCCAGGCATGGTCCTGATTATTTCATTAAGCATTTTTTAGGGAATTTTGCCCTGATAATGATCCATCATTGGAGTTTATAGTTTATTCTTTACACAGACTATTGAAATAGGTTCAGAGGTTCATTGACAGAAAAAGTATTCAGTAACTGCTATGAATAACAAAAGCTATTGGTACAGAAGTAGAATTTCCATATGAAAACAAAAACTTCTGTAAGAAGATGAAATGTGTAGGGTTTAATTTATTATTAATATTATTTAACTTGCTTCATTCTAATATAATCTAGTATGAGTTTGTGCAGGGGAAGTTCAGCTGTTTCTTTAAATGTTAGGAATTATCTGAGGATTAATATTTAACTGGCTTTTCTACTCAGATACTTTTGTATTTAATGGTTATATAAGTTTAGAGATAGATTACATATTTGGGGGGACATTTTACATGATTTTATAGCTTAATATTTTAAAGTTCCAACTTGAGTTAAAATGAAGATACCTTTAACCCAGTCAAATAAGTAGGCAGTTTTAAACATTTGGGAGTCACAAGCCTTTTGGTGGTGGTATAATCCCTTTAAGAGTCTGAAGGGTAATGAGCCCTCTCCCTTAGAAACCCATCTGTAGACACTCTAGGGTCAGTTTAAAACCTCATCTCAGGGTTTTTTTTTTCCTTGTTAGAATCATTTTGTTAAGACAAATTTGAAGGCACAGACATTTAACAAATCTGGAAAGTTTTAAAAAGTCTTTCTTGAGGATTTTCTTTCTTTTTCGTTTAATTAGATTGAGGGTTCTTTTAATAATGATATCCTTAGTCTCAAAGTTACAGTCTTCGGGTTTTTTGTTTGTTTGTTTGTTTATGCTTTTGTAGTGACAGTTAAAAACCTCCATCACTACTTAAAATACCAGATGACTGACAACTTTGCCACTTTTTCTCCAGAAAGATTTTCCTCTAGGATCTCTACTTCATGTAATAGCACTGGCGGAAGGGCGCATTCTAATTCAACTTGCAGTTAACCTCAGTAGTGACCAGATTATTGACACTGACAGTCTTTGCAGAGTATTATTAGTAAATACTTATAACGTGCTGCAGGATTTTATAGGGCTTAGGCCATCATTTTGTTTACCATTATATATATAGTAAAGTTATAAAAGATGAATCTGAACGTCTAGGTGTTGTTTAAAAGCCATAAACCAAAGAACAAAGCAAACAAAAACTTAAGTTTTAGTTAACTTTTCTTTACTGTGAACCAAATGTTCTGGAAATCTTTGCCTGTGTTAGTTTGTATACTGTGTGTAAGAATATATGCATTTCTTTTGTAGCCACGGCATGAATATTTTAATGTCCCTGTGTACTAAATGACTACTCATCGAATATGCAGAATTTCACAGAGGAAATAGAGAGCTGACGTACTTATGAAAGAAAATATCCTCAGCTTGGTGACTGGTTATCTTGCATAAAAATAATAGAAAGTTTCAGAAAAAGTACCTTCACAGATGTATTTTTTTCCTGTTCTCATTCCTAACTCATCTGTTTTATTTTCATTATATATGTAAACTTGATATAGCTTATTCCTGTCCACGATTGATTTAATTTCTCCTCAACAAAAATATGGCCTATAAATGCCTTGAGTAAGATTCCATCTTAAACACATACATGTTGTCATTAATGAATCATCTATTATTAATCTAAAGAAAACCTGGCAGTTGTTTACCAAAGAAAATACAGCTGAAGTGCCAGGTCATACTAAGCAGTGCTATGGTATATATTGTGAATTGGCCTCCCAATGTTGGTGGGGAGGGGGACAAAAAGAAATGCTATTTAGTGTGATTATCATAGAGTCTATATGAGCTAATGTGTTCTAATGTATCACATAAAAGTATATGTGGAAGTAATACAACAAAGTAAAGTTAATTTGGATTATTATATTTTATGGTTAAAACATTCAGTTTTTAAGAAATTTTATAGTGCCACATATATGTAATCACATTTGTGCTGTATAATATCACATTGTCCCTCTAAGATCTGTCAGAGAGCTATATCCAAAAAGTTGCTTCTGCAATATCTGTTGCTCAGTAGTAGCCCTTTGAAAGTATTAATACTGAGTTTATTCATGTAGTTAAAAATTTTAATATTCAGTTTTAAAACCTAAACATGTTTTACTAGTTATGGCTTCCTAATATTTTGAGTCTTCATTTCACTACTTAATGCTTTGTTAACTATGACCATATTTCTGAATATTAAAACTTTTACCATCACTATTGCATATGCTTTTAAATAAAACCTAGAGCATATTATAAAAGGAAAAGTACCAAATATTTCATTGTTTATATGAGTTAAGAAGTTGTCATTAAACAGTAAATTCAAAAGGTGCTTGGACTAGCTAACAACTGGAAGAAGACTTATGAAAATGTGTGTTGACCAAACTTAGTACTAGGCAGGCAGTATAGACCTATGGATCACTTATTTCCATTCTTACCATTCTCGCTGTAATGTACCACATTTGAAGCACCTGGTTGGGGCTATCAAATGAGAAATTTAGTCATATCCATTTGAAACATTGATCTTTCATTTCCATTTTTTTCTCCATCCCTCCCCTTGCCCTGCAATATGTTGTTCATCTGGTTTTAATGCTGCATGAATATGCATTGTCTCATACCTGTTTGCTTTGGATGCTGTGTGCTGAGCTGTAACAAAATGTTGCTGCTTTTGTTATCCGTATACAGCTGCTTGCTTTAAATTAGTAGATTCTGAAATAGCTTTTTCTTGCATGTCTAAAATAAAAGTATTGCATGTACTTCGCCTCATGTGAATGACTTTTCTTTTCCATCCCTTTTGATAAAATAACACATTTTGTATTTTCATTTTTCCAGGTAACCTTTTAAAATTGTGGTTAAAAAAAAAACATGTAACATAATTCACCATCTTAACCATTCTAAGTATACAGTCCATTAGTGTTGAGTAGATTCGCACAGTTGTACAACAGATCTCCTCAACTTCTTTGTCTTCCATAATAGAAATGTTGTGCCCATTAGTCAAACACTCTCCATCTCACCCTCACCCTAGACCCTGGTAACCACCCATTCTACTTTCTGTTTTTCTTAATTTGACTACTATACATAGTAGTTTCTCTAGGTAATTTTGAGCTAAAATTTCAGTGTGGACATGTGAAAGTTAAATTTTATGTTATAAAAATCTACTCACGGCCGGCGCCGTGGCTCAATAGGCTAATCCTCCACCTTGCGGCGCCGGCACACCGGGTTCTAGTCCCGGTCGGGGCGCCGGATTCTGTCCCGGTTGCCCCTCTTCCAGGCCAGCTCTCTGCTATGGCCAGGGAGTGCAGTGGAGGATGGCCCAGGTGCTTGGGCCCTGCACCCCATGGGAGACCAGGAAAAGCACCTGGATCCTGGCTCCTGCCATCGATCAGCGCGGTGCGCCGGCTGCAGCGGCGGCCATTGGAGGGTGAACCAACGGCAAAGGAAGACCTTTCTCTCTCTGTCTCTCTCTCTCACTGTCCACTCTGCCTGTCAAAAAAAAAAAAAAAATCTACTCACACAGTCTCAAACAAGTAAAATGTATAAACAAAACCAAGCCTTTTAGAAAGGGCAAATAATTTAAATAATGCATATTCGAAAAGCAACATGATTCTCTTCAGGAAACACTGTGTAAGACTGCAGGCAGTGAACAAATTAGGGAAATCTGACCAGTTCCAGGATGTAGTTGTGGGACATTTTTACATGCATAAACTGAGAATGTAAACTATAGGATCCAATGTAGGCAGCATTTCATTAATACACTAAAGGCTGTAGGACATTTTAAAGAATTTCTTAACATGAAAACATTAAGATTGCTTTCTTTAATATGTGAATCAGCTGTTCAGTGTATTTGATGGTTAAGGCTAAATATTATAAATGATTGTAAGTGAAAGAGATTGGCTTATATCACTCTTGGGAGTATTGTGTAAGTTCCAAAATTTTCATTTTATTTGAAAGAGAGACAGACATCTTCCATCTCCTGCTTCACTCCCCAGATGCCCAAAGCAGCCAGGTCTGTGCCAAGCTGAAGTCAGGAGCCCAGAATTTAATCTAGGTCTCCCCCCAAATATTTGTTATCATCTGCTGCCACCCAGGGTGCAGGATCCGAAGCAGAGAAACCAGGACTCACACAAGGCACCCCAAGCAGCAACTTAATGGGTGTACCCAGTGCCTGCCTCAAAACATTTAGCATGAAAACTTCGAGACATATAAATATAATAGGATAAAGAACTCTTACATACATACTGAGCTTCAACAGCCATCAACTTAAATCTTATTTCCTTAATCCCACCTCCCATTTTTGGCTCTGTTTTAGAGCAAGCCCTAAACATTCTGTACTCTCATCTTTAATACTTCAGTATGTATCCTTAACAGATAAGTACCATGCCCAACAAAATAACAGTAATTAATTGTAATATCTTGCGCCTGGCTCAGTTTTTCCAAATTACCTGAAAAATGCCTTTTTATGACTTATTTGTTAGAACCAGATTCCAAACAAGGTTTATATCATATCTGGTTGAAATGTCTTAGTCTTTTACAAGTTGTCTGCTTTCTGCCCCTCTCCCCCCTTTAAGCCAGGTGGTCATTTCTGCTCTAAAATTTCCTGTATTCTGTTTGGCTGATTGAATTATTGTGGCAGTATTTAACTTGTTCTTTTATCCCCTATCTATATTTAGATCTATAGCCTGATAAGATTTAAGGTTCAATGTCTGGGCTGCAAGAATACTTCATAGATAAGACTGCCTTTTAAAAATATATACCCTTTTTTACTAAAACTGATTTTTACCCATTTTTTCATTAGTTACACATACTAAATGGTCATCTTGTGAACTTTAGACAATTGGTTTATAGTCCTTTAGTTTAGTACTAAATACTTTCATTTAGATTTCAGTTGTGTGGCTGTCGGCTAAGAGTTTTTGAACACTATAAATCAGGCACTGAGTTTTAATTCATTTTCAACATATAAAGGTAAGTTCTATTCTTGTTTTACAAATATGGAAACAGACTACAGAGTTGAGGTAATTTAAAAGATTGACACCATGAAGTGCTTTACATACAATTAAATCTAATGTCCTAAGGATTTATGGTTTAATATAATTTTTCTTCTTATTTTTGTGCTGTGCCACAATTAGGATGCAAAAGTAAGTTTATCATTGGATAATAAGTTACATTTTTTCCTCCATTAAAATACAGTGTTGCCTTGTTAAACTGTTGCTAGTAATACCTGAACAATCACCTAATTGGTCCCTTTTTATTTTGTGACATATAAAATCAGCCACTTTGGAAAATTTTAAAGTAATTGTTTTCTAGATATAGCTGTTCTAGTTTTCTTTGAAATTGAAAAAAATAATTTTTTTATTTGTAAAACAAAGAGCTCCCATCTGCTGGTTGTTGGTGAGGGGGGGCAGGGAAACAGGAACTTAATCCAGGTCTCTCACATGGGTACATGGGTGGCGGGACCTCATCACTTGAACCATTTGTGCTGCTTCCCAGAACCTGCCATTAGCAGGAAGCTGTAGACTGGAGCCCGAGCCTGGCATCAAACCCAGGCACTCTGATGTGGGATGTGGGCACGTTAACTGTTAGGCCAAACTCCCACCTCTTTCTTTGACATAGGACAAAAAATCCTTTTGACCTAGAGTGTTCTTTCTGCATGTGGAATCCACCAATGCTCTTGGTTGCCCTTGGGAGGTCTGGGAAGGTGGCTGTTTTTGAAGTTTCTATGTTGTGGATATGTCAAGTAAAAACTCCAAGAGGGAAAACATTTCTATAAAAACATGTAACAAAAAAGAACCTGGAACACAGCATTAGGTGAAGAATTATGGGAACTCATGTGGGGATGGGGTGCTGTTTCCTTTACACTTGGAGGAGGATTTGAATTTTAACACTGAAATAGCTCCTGTATATAATTGAGTAGCAGTGATTTCATAAATTGCCAGTGAGTTTGCATTGGGCTTGACTGCTTTTTGTGTGACAGCAAAACTGCCTGGCACTTTGATAGGTAATCAGCAAATATTTAATGAAAGCTGAAAAACGTCTATGGTCTGCAGTGTTTGGGGCACAAAACCCTGGCTGTCAGTGACACGGAACTGCTTTCTTTCTTCTCGAAAACAAACATGTCTTCCCATGTCAACTTTTCCCACCTTACAACTCCCTGAATCTGCTTACTAGAATCTCACATTTTCCCTCCACAGGAAGCTGAAACCCCACGTAGTGTTCTTGAAGAAATTGGACTGACATAACTCTCCTCCCTTGTTGATGACTTCCTGTGGCATTTTACACACTGTAGATGGTCACTGCCTTCATATCCATGTTAGCTAATGGTGTAAAATGATGTCTTGTCAGTATTACTGTTTTGCTAAGCTGCTTCATTTATGCCCACACAACTTTTTTTTTTAAAAAAAAGGGAACTTTGGTTAACCAAATGATAAATTAAGGGACTTAAATATGATTAGAATGATGCAGAAAAAGATACCTTTTCTGAGTAAAGTTTATAGTTAGTTTCTCATAATCTGAATTGTGAACATATATGGAAATGACACCTGTGTACATATAAAATCAAACAATCAGGCAACACATATTTATTAATTACTGTATTTGAAAAAGGAAACTCTTAAATTATATGAAACTTGGTTTTATGAAACCAAAGATTAGTGCAGCATTTTAGTATACGTAAGAATAAAGGGAACTGACATGTCACATACAAATGAATGAAAATTTGTTGAAACTTAAAAAAAAATTTATACCAAAGATACCCACTGGAAACTACTTACCTTAAGGGGAATATAGGTTATTTTAAATCGCCAGATTGGAATGATGTTACACTAAAAATTATTAAGCATTTTGAACCTGGTATGAGGAACCAACTGTTTTGTAATAGTGAGCACATGATTTTTAAGGCTGAGACAGCTGACTCCTGAGATGACATTTTTGTGATTACAGTTATTAGTTACTTACATTGTTTGTTGATGCCCTAAAATAAAGTAGGAATATTAACTTACCTGGAATTCTTCGTAACAGTATCTTACAGGAAATATCTTGCTTTCCTCACGAAGTGCTGCATTAAGTCATTGTTTCAAGCACGAATGTTCCTTCAGGGGTGCTTGTGAAGACCAACTTTATTTTGCTTCCCTCTAATTAGAATTGCTGCAAACTTCACAGCAGCTTCCCTTCCTTCCTTGGAACTGCCTAGTTATCAGAAGTCTTAAAATAATTTTAAAAAGACACCTTTCATATAATGAAAGTTGAATGAGGTAAAATGGCATTAGTTGGCCCTATATTTTTTAAAGCTGTATAATTGTTCAGCATCACTTTTATACATACTTAAACATATCCTGTCTTCATGGTTTACACTTTCACTTGTATTTGCTGGGCTGAATTAAGCTTTGTTGTGATTGTAACCAGTATTCAGGCCACATGAGCACTGTCTTATCACATCGCCAATTAGTTGTAATAAATGTTCAACATAAAAACACTGTAGTGTGTTTCTCTCTTTCCAAAAGTTTGTCAGGCTACAGAGAGCTGCTGATGGAAGAATTTCTAATTTTTTTCTCAGTAAAATGGTGAAAATTCCCTCCACTTGAAAGTTGGTGGTGGGTTACAAGCACACACAAGATAAGTGGCAGAAGATTTAAGAAGTCATGTACTTCACTGAAAAATATGGATTCCTTGCTACTGAGAGCTTATCAGCACATATATTTTCAATCAATAAATGCCACTTTCAAAACCTTGATGCAGTTGACTTTTCTACTGCTTCTAAATG